TTGTGGGCATTCTGGAGCATAGGCTGGATGGAAGTAGCTGTATTTGGTGCCATAGCGGGAGTTGGCCTCACCACAGTTGATACACTGTGGTTGTTGGGCTGTGCAATCACGGTTCCCATGTTCTTCTGCACAGTAGGAGCAATATTGTTTTCTACTTCTGCAGTCAGCTTGCTTAAGCCCATATTGCTGGCATCTAAAACATCGCTGGAGGCCAATATGCTCTGAGACTCTTATGAGCCTGCCAGCCGAGGAAGATTTTTCTGTGCTGCATGATGGCTGCAAAGCCTGTCGGCTCACACTCAAAAACCCACTTGATTTTGCCTTTACGACGTTCTTGTAATCGGAATAGGGGTTTAAAGGTGGTGCTAGGCATTCCAGTGACGCCGCTGAGTTCTGCGAGTACTTCTGATTGTGTGGATACCGGCAAGTCATGGACGGTGCATCTTGGCTTACGTTTCCATGGACGGGTGACTTCCGCTGGGATAACTTGTTGAAGCTGTTGTTCGAGAATTTCGACATCTTCAGTGGATTTACAGACAACCTCGAAACCTCCTTTGTTGAGCTTAGAAATTCTTTCTATACCTGCCTGTAGCTTGGAAAGTGGTACTTTAGCGTTTAGCTGCGCCTTTAGCTCAGTCTCTGTGACGTCCGCTTTGGGACGTATGTATAGACTTGGATTCTTATGTTTCTTTATAATCTCTGCAAAAGTTGGTCGAGAAGTTGTTGGCAAAGGTGGAGGTGCCTGTATCAGGTGGTTGTTGTGCTATCGGTAGAGGCTGAGAGCGAGCACATTCACAGGAAAGCACTGTTGATGTATTAACACCTGTGTCTATCTTTGTTGGTTTGGCTGCTAATTCTGCACCTTGCAAGGCCAGCGTCTGAAACGCAACCAGGGAATCTAATAGTCTGGTGCGAAGAACTGTAGGTAAAAGATATTTAGTACTTCTGGTTGGTGGGCCGCTACCTGTCTAATATCCTCACACAAAATAAGCTAACTTTCTCTGCGTAAGGCAAATCAGAGGTCAATAAATTAGTGGCGTCTACGTCACTTTGTGAATGCGCGGAATCACCGGCAGTTGGAATCACTGATTGACAGGACATGCTGTCCAAGAACTTTCTCAGAGTTGCAAATTATCACACTCGGTAGTGTAACTCTTTATCAAATACTTAACGTAAAATAGCTATTGCTTATTGCTCTATAACAACAAATATACCAATATACATATGATAAAATTTGGTAACAATAGGTTCCCTTTCACACCCAGTAACAAGGAAATTACAGTAATTAAAACATGTAGTAGAATAAGTAAGATACTAAACATAATTAACAGATGATCTATGACTAAAAATTCTCTAAATACAATCAAACTGACTGATTTTTAAGTGCAAAGTAGAAACATAAAAATACAAGTAATTAAAATACAGCAATTAATACAGTAATTAAAAGATTAAATAAACATTTCAAGTAATTAAAGGTAAAATACAGGGTGCATAAAGATCAGTTCTCATGTAAAACACATCAAAAGCACGCAACTAGAGCTTTAAAACTAAATTTTTAGAGTTTGTCGAATAGTGTTCAAAGTTATCGAAAAGTTATTCGACGACGAGAGCTATAATGTCGAAACTGAAGATGAAAACAATGGAATTAAAAACACTATGCAAATCCTGTAAAAATGTTAAACATTTTGAAAAAAATAAACATACCAGTTCTTGAAATTCCTGGTTGCAATGGATCCGGAGATGTATACATATATTTTAATTAAAAATTAATTTCTGGACATGGAATATTTGGGGGCGAATTCAAGTGCAACGCTTGTCATGGTAATCGCACTTGCATTGCAAAACCGAATTCAAGTGCAACGCTTTTCGGACACGCCTACTGAAAATACGTCACTACCATAGAGGAATTTTGCGGCTACTCCTGACCTGCCGCAAACTCTTAACAGCGACTGTAAACAAGATGGATGAAGTGATTTTGCTCAGACCTTTAAGAAATCGGAGAAATGCTGATCGAATCCCTTGGCATTTAAGAGACAGTCGTAATGCTTTTGAAATGGTGGAGCGTGAATTCATCAGTTGATTCAGATTAAATCGGTTTGCTTCAATGAATTGAAACCTTTTCTGAAGGCAACTGCCAATGGATATTCTCTGCAAAAGCAGGTTTGTTTTTACTTCAAATTATGAAAACTGAAATACTTCTGGAAATGTTTCCGAATCAAAGACTATGCTTAAATGACCTATTTGAGAATGTTATATATTTTTATGCGTAAACACACAAATTTTTAATGTTATTGTATCAGGATTCTTTCTTTTTCAACCCCCTTTTTTTTCCATAGTAATGATCGAAATCGTTAATTACTGCGAATTTTGGAATGCAGTAATAATATCACCATTAATTTATTGTTTTAATTACTCTAAAACGTAATCTCGGAGAAATTGTTTTTCTAACAGAAATTATGCATATGCCTGTCTTTGAGATATATATATATATATGTATATGTTTGGGATTAGTTTTTTGGAATATTATATATTTTTTCATGGTTTTAGATACGTGCATTTAATTTACATATGCTCTCAGAATTTCAGTGATATAGTAAATTAGTTTTGCAGCAATAATTAATCTTTGATATGTATGCAATTAAAATTTCATAATTTAAATTAACTTTATATGAATAGAGAATATTTGTTAAATTCAAATTTCATTCTTTGCAGTAATGGCACATGAGAATTATTTAAATTTAACTTTACTTTTTATTCTTATGAAACAATATATATATATATTCTGTAACTGTAGGGGGAAAAACCATGAATTTTTCTCAGCTGTTTAAACAGTTCCCATGTGTAAAATAGTATTTCATCCCCCAAAATATTAGTTAATTTTTTCCTAATGTATAATGTCTTGCCTGTTCGTACAGTGTGATTAATGTCATGATAATTTTGGATACTTTCTATAGATCTTGCATAATAACTACACATGTAAGTTATATACACATTCATAAATCTCTTATGATATGAAAAGTTATTGCAGACTTTCACATAACTATTAATAACTTGATATTCTCGATAACAGGTGACGTACCTTACTTCCGTAGAACATGATCAGAATTAAATAAACTTATAAGGTTATCATACTAAATTACACGAAAAGCAGCATGACATAAATAAATACAAAGAAATTAAATGTATTTACTGTACTAATAGATTATTATATTACATGACATTGGTTTTGCCCATGTATAATGGTAATGAAAGCCAGTTTTCCATAGAAAGTCCTCTACAGAGGCATATGTTTTCTTAAGCAGATTGCTTTTACCACATTTCAGTGACCTTGATTTAAGTATGAAACTGGATAATATTTTTTCTTTCTGCATGAAATGTGTTAACTGAGTTTTAGAAATATAAGCCATCTTGCAGTTACTGTGATAATACTAATTTTTGGTACCTCCATATTATACCATCAACCATGAAAGTTGTGCTAATTACTGCTGTGGAATTCTGAGCCAGATATTTGTATACAGCAGTTACAACAAACCATACAACAGTCTCTCTGCAGAATACATGAAATAACCCTGCTGTGAAAGTATTGGACCCACTTCGTGAAAAAACATTCGTTCATTACTACTGTTTTATTTGCGGTTAAATTTTACCAAAAGCTCATTTTAGAATGCTATGAATACAGTTGTTGTCCACAGGTAATTGTTCCAATTTCTTACTGTTTTGTTCGCTATTTCCACATACAGTAGATGTTAATTCTTTCGACCAGCTGTAAAAGAACTGGAGTGCAATCACAAATGTGATTCTACCTAGCTTACCAAGAATTATTTTGGGTTACATACAAATGAAACCGCAGATGTTGCGAGTGTGGTGATATTAATTTTTGTTTTGTCTTCCTTAATCGGAAAAATAAATTTTCCATTAATGGTGAAAAGGTAAGAAATATATGATAATAAGTATAATATTATAGTCATTTCAAATTACTGCAAGAATGTTTCATTATTATTCAAATAATAATAACAAAAAGCTATCTATACTATAATTATAGTGAAGTATAGATATTAAATAATACAAAAATATTAAATAAATTTTAGAATCACCTATTTACTATAATTACTACAATTTAATAAAAAAAAAGGTAGCTGTAATGTTTTTGTGTGTGTGTGTGTGTGTGTGTGTGTGTGTTTTTTAACGTTTTATTGCATATTTTTTAATAATGAAAAAACAGTGACATATTTTTGTTAAAAATGGAAAGTATACTCCTTAAAAAGACTGATTTATTAATATATCAACTATATTTAATGTTAAAAATCTGTATATTAAAATTTCAAATGAAACTTTCTTTTGACTTAAGATTTATGTTTTTCTAGGTATGGAATGCTGGTCTGAGGGTTCTCTATGCTATAGGACAATGGCCAGGCAATACTCATGATGCATTTATATGGAGTGGACTGAAACAAAATCTAGATAGTATTTTGTTGCATCGTGCATATCTTTGGGAGATAGTGGATTATATTTCCATTTTATCACGGGAATATCTCTATAATGAGAAGCACAGAAAAGTTCGTGCAGCTATAGAGATCAAATCAAAATTTAGGGTACTGCACGATACTGGTGGAACACTATTGTATTCACAAAGTAAAATATGTAAAATGGTCATCTATGTAAAATGATCATTATATCAAATCTGTGAATTTCTTTTAAATAATTTTTATAATCACAAAATTTTATAAAATTAAGAAAGTAGTAAATTTTACAATTAAAATATGAATCCCACACTGCAGAAATATCATACAAGAATGAAAACACTGTAATATTTGAAAATGCATGATTTATTTTTTTAATAAATTAATAATTATATTTTGATTTTCTATGACAGCAGTTTACTGATTTGCAACTGATTGCTTATACAAGTCACATATTTCACACAGTACATTAACTGTATTCTTCTGCGTTTTAATTATTTCCTTTTCTGCAGCTGTAATATCATCTCTCTTCCTTTTTTCCTCTTCGGTCTCCTGCTTCAAATAGTTGAGCTTCTATCTGAGGGGAAAATTTTAAAATATTCATTCAAATACAAATATTCTTAATTTTTATATTTCATAATGTAAAACACTTTTTATAATTAATTAAACAATGAAACTTCTCTAAAAAGGAACAATTCATAATATTGATTTCTTTAACTTTCAATTTTTTTTCCCTTTATAATTTTTAAGACTGTTTATAGATCAAGAGGATTTTAATGATTATTATTTTAAATTCTTAAAAAAACTTTATATTGTTGTTAATAAAAGACATACTTTGTATATAATGTTCGCAATAAAGATTTTGATTGAATAAAATAATCTTTTGTATGAGAAATATTAATTTACATCTGTTATAATTAATTTATACCAGCGGTTCTCAGCCGGTGGTATGCAAAGAAACAAAATATTTTTAACTATGAAATTCAAAAATCTCATAAAGAAAAGAATAGTTAATAGAAATTTCCTTTGATCGAAATTGACTTGAAGATTTAGAAAATGACACACTTGTTAACTTTTGGCTGAACCGAAAAAAAGAATTTAAAGGCATTTCAAATAAAGCTATCAAATTTGTATTGTCTTTTCGCACAACCTGTTTGTGTGAAAAATGATTTTTTCCATGTTAAATTTGAAATATAAATACTCATCAAAATAAAAAGTGGATCCTAATTTACCATTAAATGAAATAACAGCAGACATAAAAAAATTAAATATTAAAGTATTATAACTGAAATTTTGATAATCAAGTGAATAATTATTTTAATTAAATTTAATTTTGATAATTAAGTAATCATCAGTTTTTAATCTAATAGTTCTTTATGTGTACATATTTAATACAAAGAGTGTGCAAATGGCAATATATATATATATGTTTTTAATATTTCTTATGAGGAATTGAAAAATAATCATTGTAAAATTAGTGGTAGTCTTAATGTTTTTCAGTTTTTGCTTAGATGGTACACTACAGTCAAAAGGTTGAAAACCGCTGATTTATACCATTAAAGTTTTTCTGTCGGGAGGAAAAGGAAAAGAAGAATGCAGAAAACATTAGATTTTATGTAATAGATACAAACTTGTCATTTCTAAATGCCATTGCAGATTTCCTCGTGATAAAGGTGTGGAATTTTCTAATGTAAAAAAGAAAAAAGCATAAAATAAGCACAATTTACTCAACAATCTTGACTGAAATATACATGCTTTCAGAGATAGCATAAAGCAAGAAAAGTTTACTCAACAATCTTGATTGAAATATACATGCTTTCAGAAATAATATACAAAGCATACTGCATAATCAAAGTTATGAGTTTATATACTATGAGATACTATACATGTTTATAATATACCACGTTCCTGTACACCTAACACCTCGTCCACAATTTTCTATACAATTCATTAAAGATAGTTCCTGAAACATAACTGACTTAAGAGAAACATGCATACTTCTAATTTATGCACAACAATTTGACAAACATTAATTTCAGGTAAAGAGCTACATGTATTATATCAAAGAAAGAATGAATAAGTGTAATTTGCCTTTATCCTACAAATACTTAAAAACATTTACATTAAAAAAATGAATTATACATAATGGTAGCAAATTTTTAATGAAAAACAAAACAAGAGTTGAAAACTTAATGCAGTTTTTGTCAATATTTTACTCTCTTAAAATTTATATAAATGTATAGAAACTTGAAATGCATACCGCATTTGGCTGGAAAACTTGTGGTATTGTACTGCACTCTAGGGAAAGGGAAAAAAGTATACAATGAAGCAATCATAAGAATAAAAGATATTTGCATATTATTGAAACCACTTAATAAAGTTACCAAATTTTCAAAAATGTGCCAAACTCTGGCAACGATTATGTATCAAAATTTTTCAGGTAACATGCTCATGACAATTTTTCATTCAAGCAATGTCACCATTTTCATATGTGTTTCTTATGTTGTATTTCAAGTTCCAATGGATTTTTAGATACGAATAGCTTGTTTTAGATTAATTTCAGATTTAAAATACTGCTTGTGGAGCTTACCATCAAAAGACGAAGCTGTGTTAAAAGTTCTGCAGGAATAGAACATTTTAGTACAAAAATTTCTAATGGAAACAACTATGAGATGAATTTGGTACATAGACAAGGCATGCAGTATCAAGTTTATGTAATTCTCTGATTTTTTTTTTTTTTTTTTTAAGTGAAAACAGATCACTTGGCACAAGTGCTAAAAAATTAGACAAAAATTTGTGGAAAATGTATTTTTTTTTAAACTATCATATAATTTTTATTTAATAATTCAAATTAGTATTTTAAAATTTGTTGAAATGTTTTTTCCTTTGATATGTTGATAACATTTTGCCAACTTAGATAAATATTGATAGTTTGGTTATGCTAAAAGCAAGCTGCAAAAACAACGTACTTCTCCTGATAAGTATTTTTCTCTTTTCATTTATAAAGACCACCAAACTGATCCAGGTGTTTGTGTTAATACGTAAGTACCAAAAAATATTGAAGAATGCACAATGAAAGATGGAAAAGAAGTCACCACCAGTATGGTAAAAGATATAATTAATATATGCAATGAAAGAAATCTTATTAAAAAACGACTTTCATTATCAGCAGAGAAGCATGACACAGTTACAGTAAAGAAATTAAGCTTTTGTTTCTGCACTTGTAGCTTTTAATAGCCAAAAATTGTTTTTTGAAATTTTATGAAATAAATAAATCTGAACATAACTGATATCAAATGAGAATGGGTCCAAACTTTCACTTAAGAGGAAGAAAGTGTACTGTAAATGCACAATATAATGAGCAGAACACAAAGCATAATTTATAAATTAACCTTTACTCTGGATGTATATATTACATTAATATCACATTAGAATTATCAGGGTTTCATATAATTTTTTATTTATTGTATTACATTGAAATACCTTTAATTTCATTTTTATATTATTTCCCAACGATGTACAATATAAATCTAAAAATTGCTCTTAACTGTTTCATCACATTAATGAATGTCTATCTAGGGGAAGGAATGTCTGCTGCATGGAAGACTAAGGAAAACTTAGTATTCATGTTATACATTGAAAAATGAAGAAAACACTCATGCAGCCAGCTTTTTCACCTGGATTTAAAAGAGAGACTGGGATAGCGGTGTTCAGCAGGCTTATCTGCTTGTAGATAGATGGGCTTATTAATTACTATGTAATTCAAGAACTAGTTAATTTTCATATGGTAAACATGCCTACTGTCACTGAAGAATCATGCATCTGCATTAAACAATAAAAATATAACACAAATTTGAATTGTAAATTAAACTTACTATTAGAAGAATTAAAACCAAATGCTGTAATTTGAAAATGGGAAAAAAATTTGGTTTATATTTGAAAAAGCAAGGATTTTTGTATGAAAAGTAAAATATATTTTACACACACCTGTTGCTGTAGTTTACTTTGGAGGGAATTTTCTATAGGATAAAGTAAATAAAGTTGTACACATTAAATACATGTTGTACACATTAAAAGAAATATATTTCTTTCGTTTTCAGGACTGGAACAATTCGTTACACAACACTACAACGCAGTAAACACTTGACCATAAGCTCAGAGAAATCATGGGAACTGATGTTTTTTGTTTACATCGACACGCAGTCTCATTGGATATTGATGTAGTTTATCGGACAAGCTCTCCTGGCACGAGAGCAAACCAGCTCCCCATTGCAATTTTGACGTCATCAGTTACCAGAGCGGTAAAGCGTTGCACTTGAATTCGACTTTAGGAGACGATAGCAGGAACGCCTCTTGCGAGCTAACATTTGCAATTTATCAGAGCGTTGCACTTGAATTCGCCCCTTGGCCGATTTCCTAGGCCTATCAGGGGAACCACGTGGTAGCTAGGCGAGACCCTTCCGTTGCTGTAGCGGCAGAAGTGGTGAACAAAAACACGGGAAATTGCGACTGCCTATTTTCTTTTGTTAGAAGCACTAAAACACAAAAATCTGGAGAAATATCACTCACACACACTTAAACGATGTATTCAAGGATGCAGGAGATATTCACGCACATTTGATATAAAATACACACGTCGCACTCAAAACCTTCCACTGAAAATTGGGCAAAAACCAAGAGTTCGGCCTGATGGCGTGTTTCCTCGTTGCATGCTCCGGCGTCTCTACATGAGATATGTAGAGAGGCAACTGCAGATGGCTCTGAATAAGATCCAAGAATGGTCAGACAAACAGGGATTTACATTTTCGAAACAGAAAACTGTGTGCGTGCTCTTTTGTAGGAAGCGTGGTCTCCATCCTGAACCTGAGTTATATTTCAATGGTACAATTATTCCAGTTGCGCCTGAAGTAAAATTTTTAGGAGTGACGTTTGACCGAAAATTGACTTTCCTTTCTCATGTTTTCAACCCGAGAAAGAAGTGTCTAAAAACACTAAATATTTTAAAAGTTTTGGCGAACACCTCCTGGGGTGCAGAGCGTTGCGCCATGCTTCGCATTTACAGAGCGCTTATCCGCTCTAGACTGGACTATAGCTCAGTTGTTTATGGATCCGATCGGTCATCTGTTTTGTTAAAACTGGATCCTGTTCACCATCAAGGTTTGAGGATTTGTTCAGGAGGTTTCAGGACTTCTCCTGTCCAGAGCCTGTATGTTGACTGTAATGAACCATCACTTTATCTGAGGCGTGAACAATTGTCCCTTTTGCAATATTTTAATATACTATCCCAACCTGAACATCCCAATAAGCTGGGCTTACTTGATGATGTGTGTAATGCGTTATTTGAAGCACGTCCATCTTGTGTTCCTACATTTCTTTTAAGAGTTCGCCCTGTCATTGAGGAACTTTCCCTCTCTGATATGCACCCCCAAGCAGTACAGAATTTTGATATCTCACCTTGGGAAAATGCACGGGTTCAGCTTCTTGATGTTTTTAACTATCATGTGAAGGCAAGCACTAACGAGATTATTTACAGACAACTCTTCGCTGAGCACAGGAACAAATATAGCAGTTATCTTCCAGTTTATACAGATGGGTCCAAGTCAAAAGAACATGTCGGGATGGCATTTGTAATTAAAGACCACATGGAGGGCAGACGCTTGCACAATGATTTCTCTGTCTTAACATCCGAACTAACTGCGATATATTATAGTCTTTTATACATCTCAAGGCTCTGCTACAAAAAGTTTATAATTTATTCAGATTCTTATAGTGCTCTTAAATCATTAGAAGCTTTTCCTAATACTCAAAATCCAGTAATAGTGGATATTCTCAAAATACATATAAACTTAATGAATCGTGGATATGAAATCCTGTACTGCTGGGTTCCCGGGCATGTGGGTATAAAGGGAAATGAGCTGGCAGCTATCACAGCAAAATGTGCTGTTGAACTGTCCAGTCGTCTCATCCCTTTTGCAGACATCTGTTGTGTTTGTGAAACAAAAGATCCGAAAAAAATGGCAGCAACTTTGGGATGTTCAGCTTCAAAATAAATTAAGACATGTAAAACCTAGAATTGAGCACTGGGAATTAACCAAAAATCGTAAGGAGGAAGTTCTTTTGACTCGCCTCAGAATTGGTCACACTAGAGTGACACATAGCTACCTTTTAAAAGCTGAAAATGAGCCTGTTTGTTTTAACTGTAATGTTTGTTTATCTGTTCGTAATATTTTAATTGAGTATCCATGTTTCATTAGTCTTCGCCAGAAATATTTTAATAGCTGTGACTTACCTCTCGACCGTTTAATCGGAAGAGAGGTCAATTGTAATTTATTTTATTATTTAAAAGAGATTGGCTTTTATTACCAAATGTAATTTGTTTTGAAGACTGTGTCTTGAATTTTAATATGTGCTTTTAACTTGTGTTTATATGACTTCATCCTCTGGATTTGGTACATTTATCTACTTGCTTTTATTTATTGAATTTTAATGTCATCAATTGTAATCATCTCATCTTTTGTTTGGCGCGTCATAATCATCTCTGGTTTTGCGCCATAATCACTCACTCACTCTTCTTTATTAAGGATAGTGGCATTAAATTTTTGTTTTATATTGTAGTTTCTATCATTTAAGCAAGCAACCGAAACTTTAATTTTCTCGCGATCTGCACAAAGTCTGGTTGAACATTCAGTCATGAAGTTACACATCGAACCGCTGTCAATGATTGCTCAGCAAGGACAAAGTTCACCGTCTCTGTTCGTGATGTAAATTACAGCTGTCGCCAGCAAAACAGTTTCGAAATTCTTTCGGACGAGGGAAGACATCTGAGAATCTACTTCCGGTCGGGGATCTGGAGTGCGGGAATCCTTCTGAATTTCTTTTTGCGCGTCGACGGCGAATGTTTTCCGCTGAGGAAAATGCAACAGGCTATGATGGCGTGAATTGCATAAGCTGCACCAACTGTTTGATTTGCATTCTGTCATATTATGCGATGTTTTAAGGCAATTAATACAAAGATCAAATTTTGTACAGTCTCAAAACGCTTGTTGACAGCTAAATTTTTGAATTCATCACACAAATAAATTTCATGTGTCGATTTACATAATTTGCGACTGCTGGTTGAAGTACGTTTCGAATTAACTAAAAATCCCTTTGCCTTGATATTAGGAGTGAAAGGCTTGGAATTTGAATATGTAATTTTACTTGTGTTTTCAAGAACTTGACATCTTTTTTCAATGAATGCGATAAAGTCTGCCCAGTTAGGAGGCTCAGTAGTGTTCAAACTCATTTCGAATAATTTACGAGTTTCCTTATCTAATTTAGGGAGAATTAAATTTATCTGTATGAGATCCGAAAACGTATGCCATCAATGCTCCAATGCTTAAGAACTCAAATACTTTGAGGAACATTATCAATTAACTTTCTGAGCTCGACCGGCGATTCATGATTTATTTTTTCCATGTTTATAATGAAATTAATGTGTCTGTCAGCAATTAAGCGCTTATTTTCAAAGTGATTTTCTAATGCTTTATATAATGACTGAAAGGATTCGTCTTCTGTTTCAATCTGTTTTGCTACACCTCGTAGAGACGATTTCAAATAATAAAGGTTTTCAACTTCCAATAAGTGAGAAATGTTAGAAATTATGCTATTAAATTAATTTTAAAATTGTTCCAATCCTCATATTGGCCAGAAAATGCTGGCAACGGTATATCGGGTAATTTAATTCTACTGCCAGTATCTTTAACAGTTGAATAATTCTGACTTTCTATTATTAGTTGCTGTCTTAACGACGTTCTTAACAGTCTGTTACGAATTTCGTATTTAAACAGCTAATCTTAGTTCAATTATAAATTAAATGGTTTTATTTCTCGCGCAGTGCAGTGCGTGACGAATATTAAAAGAAAGCTAAGCTGGAAAATTGAAAATACAAGAGCGCGTGCATTAAATAAATAAATATCTCTTTTTGATTTCGAGAAAGTACTGGAAAATTCTAGCGCGTGATTTTAAAATCTTATAAAAGGAGGAAAACATCTCAGTTTGCAGTAGTTGCTTAGTTTGTTTGTTTAGAAAACTGCTCTTGTTGATTGTAGCGAATTCGCGGATTAGCTTTCTTTAGCTGTTTTGAATTACGTTCTATTGGACATTTGAGTAGTTAAAAGATAACTACTGTGATATATTGTAATACTGCATGATAATTTGAGAAAATTTAATCATTTTGTTGTGATAATAATCAATTTTTGTTCATTTTTCATCGGACTTGTGCATTCATTTCATAACGAACCCGTACGCACGCAACAAGTCTATGTGCTTGTCTAGTATTCTTTCTTTATACTGTTCTGTTCTATTAATTTCATCTTCCAAATCATCAATCGCAATAACTTTTTCTATTTCGCTGTTCTACTAAATATAAGGCTTGCTCTTTAGCTACTAACTGAGCAAGTAGTTCTTCAGTAACCTCACTGTTTGGATTTGAGTTTTCAGTTTCGATTTGGAGTTTATCTAATATCTTCGTGGTAATAATTCGCAAAGATGCCCTTTTTTTCTTTCTTTTTTCTATTTTCATATTGAATAGTCAAATAAAACAATTTTTCAGACAGTTCGAAAGTTAAAGCAATATATAAATTAAACAAATGCAATGATTAGAATACTTAAATTATACAGTTTTTAACTGAAAACAGTAAAATCAAAGTTCACTTACCCATTTTTCTCAGGGTAACGACGAGCTGATCACTATATAACGATATCCAGAGACAAAGAATTCTCAACAAAGCGAAAGTTCATCCATATCCAATGAGACAGGGAATTCTTAACGAAACTAAAGTTCTACACAAAATCTTCACGAGTCAATTCCAAGCTCCGGCTCGACTTGCCAAAAAATGTTGGTGTCGATATGTAGATTGTATGAGGCGATAATGTCTTTTACTAGTTTTATTAAAACTCAACAATAATATACGTGATACATTACTTAGAACCGAAGTTCTCGTCAAATGACACCGATGCGACTTGGTGTCTGCCGACGAACGAACTGACAATTTTCTCGCCTAGTTGGCGGCATTCAGTTTGAATTGTAAGATCGCCAAGTTTGGCGCGATTACAGTTAAAGGCAGCAACAGTCGTCACCATCGAGATAGATCAAGGAGGTTAGATAAGGCCTGCGCGCTGAGCTACTACGTCACTGCTAGGGGACCGGTCTTCGTGCAGTTTAGCTGCCTTGCTAAACACCCGTTTTTCTAAACTTATTCTAAGAAATTGATATCTCATACTATAAAATCAGTCTAAAACAGAATTACAAGCGGCAATATAATGTTTTACAAAGCTTATACGA